AATGTAAAAACCAGTGAGATCATCGCAGTCAATTAGGAAGAAATGCCCTTGAGTGTTGAACATAAAAAGTGAACTTAAAAGTTTTGTTCCATACATAATAATTACCTTGATACGTATTAGTGGAAGCTTAAGTTCTGCTCTATTCACAGCCTTTTTACTTGATTTTTCCAGCAGCTTTCCGACCTGAATCGCTGTACTATTATTTCTATATGCTAGCTAGAGCATTACAACGAGAAAGGGGAAATTCCAAGTGAAGTTGCTTTAAGCAAAAGTTGAATAAAATACACAGGGTAAAAAAAAAAACAAAAAAAAAAAAAATTGCCTTGGTCCAGGCCACATTTTGTAGCAGAATAACAAATTATAATGCAATGGAATGACCAAAATTTATCTCAAAATAGCCTTTTTGTGGAACCAGAGAAGAAAACATTTATTTACAAGAAACTTGACTTACCTTTTCAAGAAAAGACTTCATGAGTAACCAAAATACATTAGGAGAAAATTTAATTAAGAAACTAACATTACCATCAATATTAGGAGACATACATACCACTTTGTCCAAATGTTCAAGAACTGAATTTTGATCATTGGGATCAATATCAGGTTCATCCTTCAATATAATCTGCACCATGAAGATTTCAATCACACAATTTCAAGTTCTCTTAATTGAGTGTGTTTCAAACAGAAGGAGAAATGTCTGTCCCAATCACAGAAGAATAAAATAATATTGGTTATCATCTTGCCTCAGTATACTCAAAAGGCCTCACAGACATGAGAGGTATTTTAGTTGGACGATACTGATTGCCCTGTCAACAATCATCAATTTAAGCCCTTGAAATTGAAAAAGAAGAAGAAGAAGAAGAATATAAAGCATGGTAGCTGCTCTTATGAAGCCATTTTCTAGATTCCCATTCATGGACAACCTTTATTTCCAGAAGAAGTACATGTTTTGGTTTTGATTCTCCATCAATCAGTGATGTGGCAACAGAAGAACCTGGTTGCGATATGTGAAATCCCATTCCGGGAACTTCCTAAAGAAAAATCCACATTAAGTTAAACAGCGCAATACATACAATACTTATATGGGCTGACCTTTAATCAATGCACCTGTGGATCGACCAAACATTCATGTTCATGCCCCCACACAATGAAGTCCAGGAAACGGGGCAGGAGGTGCTCATTTATTGCATTTTTTGGATTTGCTTTCACCCTGCATATACCATGTTAGAAAATTGGATCAGTCTCCAAGTAGATTAAAATCTATAACTCGGATGCTCTAAACCATGCACATGAACAAAGTTTCAAGGACAGTACGCAGATGCAGATCTCATGCAGATCAGCATCTCATCTTGAACCACACTATTTGATGGAATCTCTAGAAAAAGCACAAACTCACAGGTAGGTACAAACCTGTTCTGGTGAAGTACCAAAATGTTAAACCAATCAGACACCTGACATCCTTCCTGAGATTCAGGCCGCATCCATTGTACAGCATGTGGTGTCTGAAGGAAAAATAATATACCACGTCCATAAGTGAGCACAATTAAATCCATAGATGAACTGCTTGAAAGAAGATTTTGTCTGAGCATACTTGAAACATCCTATTGAGCCTTTCATCCCTAATGTTCCCCAGGCCATACAAAGCTACAGCTGTTGAACCCTGCAATTTGTGGAGATACATCTCAGAAGTGATTAACACATTGGAAGGTCCTAGTTTTTCCATCTTCTAAAGAATGGAAAATTTGTACTCGAACCCATTCTGGTGTTACCAATGTTCAAAACAAACCTTCTTGATAAGAATAGGGTAGACATTAATCTGTCCAACACCAGAACCACCGAGAACTGCTTTTCCAAAATAGTTGACAAGATTACATGCTGAGAGAATATCAACTGCAGAAAGGTTGTCCTGTCACAATCATTTAGTGAGGCGTACATATTTATTGTAGCTAAGACGACCTCTAGATGCACTATAGCATATACTTATTAATTGAAAGGAATAGATTTCAAACAAGATTTCCTAACCCATGCAACATATTTAAAGAAACATCATAGTGAAAGGAGTGCTTTAATGCATCCAGTTCTAAAACAACCATTTCCAACAACTGTGGAGGACTTTTTAATGCATGTTTACTTGCTTCCAGCCTACTTAATTCGTCAGATTCAAATGCAATATTGAACTCCTGGCTCAAGGATACCAGATTTAAAAAATAATGAATGAAGCTGGTAATTGATAAGGTTTATCGGGAAGAAAGAAGAATAGCAGCCTGCCCAGGTCTTGTATCTTGTATACATAAGAAACAGAAGAACTTTAAGCAAAACAACAGTTGCCTTGGCAACCATAGTAAGTAAATATCCAAAAATTATGTATAATTTTATGACAATACTCATACCACGCCTGCTGGATCATCATGATTTCCATGAATGCTGAAAATTGGCAAGCCCACATTGAAGTGAGGGTCTTCATAATTCACATGACCAAATCTGTTAAAACAAGAAAAGGGGAAAAGACACAAGTTGTACACATTGAACCAGGTGAAGCGAAGCTTTTTGGTATTTTACAATAGCAAGGAGAGCGCTCACGTATAACGTGAATAGAAATGAATATGTGATCATATATGAACTGCTCTGTGAGCATGAAATCTAATATATCCAGAGTATTCATTAGCAAAAGCAAGGTAAACCGAAAATTATATAACAAAGCAGGATCAGTCTAAGCAGAAAAGGGATTAAAGAGCAGAGAAAATGCTAGAAGATAGCCCATATATAATTATCTACTAAAATAAACTTCAATTGAAAAGGATTAAACAGGTTGCTGCAGAAGTAATCAGCATGGCCAGCAGAGAGTTTAGTCTGACTAAGCAATTGAAAATAACATAAATTGGTTGAAAATACCTGCCGAAATTAGTTGCCAATTAGTTGCTAATTACATAAATTTCTTACACATTCTGAAAATTAACCGTTTGATCACTGACAACTTCAAACTGCACTGGCCGATCATTAAGACAATGTCGACGTAGAATCTCAATAGCCTTAACCAATGTTGATCTCGATGGCTTATTCTCGTGGAAAAGATCGCCACCAAGTAACAAAAAATCAACCTGACACCGTATACAAATACATTCCATCAAATAATCTCCATGAGCCGACATAAAATCCCATGCACAACAAGCATATTTTGAAACAAAAACAATATGCCAAGTACTAAGGAGAGGAGCAATTTCCATTAACTGGCTTTTGAGCCGTGAGGATTTTTGCTCACTCCAAAAAAACTAGAAGCAACTCAAAAGAATATCAACGAACCTAATGTGTCAGCAGAATAACATAGGCAAGAAGGTAAACAAATAAGAAGTATAGAGAAAAACGAAGAAGTCAAAAGGAGGGAAACACCTGCTTCTGCTTAGCTATTGAGCAAATTTCATCAAATGCTTGGAATGAGTCATGACGTCGTATTTCGTCCTTCTCCATGTAGCCAAGGTGGCAGTCCGTAGCTACAAGTATGCGAAGGGTGTCGCTAGCGTCGCCCATGTATAATTCTTTCTCGCAATGCTACGACAAGTGCCGTTACGCAACAAATGAAAAACAGAGTAGCAAACGAAGAAGGTGGTGGTGATTGAGTTGAAGAAGGAGAAGAAGAAAGCTGAAACGGAGAATATGCCGTGACCGCGAGCGAGGAAATTTGGGCGCGGCGGTCGTCGGAGAAGAAGAGAACCCCAGTGCCAGCAGCGCACCACACTTGACACAAAACGACGTCGCTCAGCAAAAGGAGAAAAAGGTGGGATATTCGGAAATGCGGGAGTTCCCCGATTTATTATTATTAATAATTAATAATTAATTAATCTATCGTCGATTTGCGAGCGGTGAAATCACTGAAATGGTGGTGAAAATTGACTAGAAGTTAAAATATTATTATAAGTTTATAACCTTCCACCCCAACCGAAAAAAAAAAAAATTTATGACCATTTAACATTATTAGTTATTATTTTAAATTTAAAAAATTTAAAACATTTTAACATTAGTTATCATTTTAAATAAGTATTTAAATTTAAAATATTTCAAAATATTCTCTTAAATTTTAATTCGATATCACTTAACCGTTATAATTTTTTTTTTGCATTTGTATAAATCAGGACCGTCTTGTAAATAAGATTATTTATTTATTGCAATTTTATGCTTGGGGAACTAAGATTTGGGTATTTTGAAAGAAAAAAAATTGACAACTACTTTTTTTGAGTAGGTACTAAAATGTCCAAGATATCTCGATGTCAATCTTCCTTTATATGCTATTGACATGACATGCGATCCACTAACGTTAATTTGTGTATTGTAGTAGTAATTTATGATTTAGCATTTACACTTTTAGAAGAAATTAGTGTAGGGTTACTTCTTAGGTTAATTTAAATTTTATAGTCAAAACATCGTTTTAAAGCAATTTACATACTAACAGCATTCCGCCACGTGTATTTTTAAGGTTCTAAATGAACTGGGTCACGCTCTACAATTGTACATGCTTTTCAAAATGCTCTGTAGTGGGATGATGGATGAGAGAATGAATAGAGAAAAATAAATCCGACTTGTATTAATTTGAATGCACAGTACAATATTTATAATATCAGCAAATGAGTTGACACGTGTACAATAACCACTATAATTAACTGACGAACAAGCTTAACTAAAAATATTTTAACAGACTCCAATACTCTTAAACAAACCGGAACCCAGGTATTGAAAAACACTCACAGATGCTCAGAGGTCATTTCCAAGAGCCAATCCTAAAAATCCCAGAAAACTTTATAACAAACATCCCCCCAATAAATCATGCTCAAATTTAATTCTTCTTCACGATGATTGGGAATCCTCTCAATGCATTATTTCCATACGTATGGTACAAACTGAATCTTAAGTTTTAATAAGGGAAACTAACAACATGCTCAAGCAACAACGTTGTTATTTCTATATCAAAAACGAGGAACGTGTAAAATACGTCACTGTTCAGCAACGGCGGCCTATGCAACAGTCGGTAAGGATCCATCTTCAGGGGTTGCGAACCCAGTCCATGTCTTGATTTGTAGGATCAGTTCTTTGAGCTCTGTATGACAGCAATACCCAAACAACACAAAAATACAGAGCCATAGGAACACGCAGATCCACAGAACGAGCCTTGAAATCACGCTCAGAGCTAAAATAGAAGCTATACTCTCAAGGAGCAGCATGAGGAGGAGTGGGGCTGGGTTTCTCTTATGCATTTGAGACAACGTTGCCGATAACGTTGTCAGAGACGAAACTGATTTGATGAGAACCATGGCCTTCATAACAGAGTCGTTTGCTGAGGAGGAGGCCTTTCCTGTATCTGTGATCTTCAAGGTGAAGAGTATGCTAAGCAACCAAGTGAACAAGCTGTAACATATGTTCATAGCTTCTTTTTGGGTATCATCCTCAATGCTCCTAGATCACATCAATGATCAGCTGAATTATCCTCAAGAAGAAGAAGAAGAATTGAGAAACAGAGTATGTACCCTATTATTGCAGCGAAGACTTTTCCAGCATCTTTGATCTTCATTATGACGGTGGAAAGAAACGAAATTATCTGACTATAAGAATTCTTTGCTGTTTCTTTGAGGGACGTCATTATATTCTCGAGCCTAATTTGCGTCAAATATGAACAGACGAATGAAATGTTAATAATGGCTTCGTGCTAATCAAGGAAGGGGCAAAACAGAGCAAGATAACAGGTCTGAAAAACAGAGTACTGACCAAATTGAAGCTGAAGGTGCAGAAGTGGAATCCATTGAAGCACCTTCTCCTATACTCATTGGTGGAGCAGAAATGCGGAATATTTCATCTCCTGTTATCATGTAGTCGATTGGGCAAGCGGAACGTTTACTGTATTTATAGACCTACTTCGCCCTTTTTTTTTCCTGGTGAAGAGAGTCAAATATTTTTTTAATATTTAAAAATATACTATAATAAAAAAATTATTTTGTTAGTTAAACTAATCTTTTCTGAGATTTTTTAACACGTGTAAAGTATAAAATTGAGCCGGAAAAGCAAAATTACAAATATATTAGCAAGTAGCAACCAAAATTTTCCCACCCTCAAAAGGTGGTAAAATTGTAATAGCAATATTTATACGATAAGTTTTATATTATCCGCGTATGTATTTGTTTTTCTAAATATATTATCAAAAGTAAAAAAAATTATAAATAAATAATAATAATTTAATCAGTCAAAGAATCTAAAAATTTCGCAGCCATGCTAAGAAATTCAATATATTTTTTAAAAATATTTATCAAATTGCCATATCTCATCCCGCGGGGTTCCGGTCTCCTGTTTCGATGTGCCCACCATTGACGTATAAAACGTTTAAAACTATTACCACAAAATGCAGAAACGTTTTAAACTTGGATTTTTTTTTTTTGGGGGGGTTTGTAAATAAATAAAAAATGATCACTTGACTGGCGAATGGTTACCATGCCTGTCGTGCTGTCATTATCAATTGAACATTCTATGAAATATGTCATTTTTATTTTGTTTCAATTTCATTATAATTACAATTGCAATTGCATTGATTTTTTTAATGTAACACTTTTCTTTTGCTAAGGTAAAACAAAATGTTAACGTATTATAGTAATCAGCTCTACATTGGGGGAAAATAAAATTTGGATTTTTATAAAAAAAATTGTTTTTGATTGCATTAGTATTAGATGGCTAGATTTAAGTCGCCGAAGCAGATATATTACATCAAGTGTTCATAGTAATCTAAAGTGAAATGAAAAAACATAATAAAATTAGTAGCAGGGTTTGATCCAGCCGGGCTTAATTAGTATATTTAATTATTCTGTTTGGCCGTGAATTTTCTTAGCGAGTAAGTATAAAAGCAGGGTGAGAATGTGCATTTAGTCAAAGTGTACACACGGTGGCAAAATAGTGCTGCTTGGAGATTAAAACCCCGAAGTATATAATACGTCCTTCGATTTAGCCTGCCACTTGGAAGGAAGGAAAAGAACATGAGGGTGATAAAGGGTATGGCCTGAGCAAAATTTGGAGAGATAAAAAAAGTTTCACGGATGGATATATATATATATATATATATATTTACGGGAGAAAATACTCTGAATAGTTTTTTTTTTTGGGGTAGAACTCAAAAGGAAAAAAATTAATCTTATATATTTCAAGTGCTTGTTTCAATTATATAAAGATAAGTATATAAGTCTTGTCCAACTCAAAACGGTATTTTTTTATGAACAAATAAAAGAGGTGCAAGGCCCAGAACAATTTAAGTCGATTGGCAAAGACGTGAGAAAATCCTGTAGAAGTATAAAATATTAATCGCAAAATAATTATATAGTGTGGAACTTGTGCAAGACCATAAATTGTAAATCCCCAAAAAAAAAAAAGTTGCAAAACAATTTAGGTTGTTATACTTTAAGTAATCTCTTAAGCCTTGTTTGGTATACAGGACTATCAAAGAGGGATTGAGAGTATGAGATTAAGATTGAGATTAATTAGTATCACCTCTTTTATGTTTGGTATGAAGTAATAGAAAATTTAATCCCAGTCTTAGTCTCATTTATGTGGGATTATTTAATATCACCACCCCTGTGGTATTAAAAAAATCAATCTTGAGATTGATTATTTTGTGACCAAATTGCCCTCCCTATCCATCCTCTTGTCTTTCTCCCTTGACATTTCACCTTGTGACTATTCTCTCTCCCCAAGACTGCCCCACTTTGCCAATGTCGTTGTCCTTGAAGCAACATCCTTCCCTTCCCCTCCATCTTCCTCCCACTGGTTTTCTTAGAGTTCAAGTTGGCTCCCTTCTCTCTCCATCTTCCTCTCACTGGTTTGAGTTTGCAAATCTTACAGATCACAATAAGATTAACCACAGGCTATAATTGTAGTGTCTCTATGGTTTAGACCATTAATGACGGCTAGATCTAGTTTGAGTTTGAGATGTGCCGCTGTGTTTTGTCACCTTAAGAGTCTCATCTTCTCGTCGATGTCGAAAGAATGAAAATCTCTTTCCCCTTCCCTCTTTGCTTTCAAATCACCAACTACAAAACAAAAAAACTTGCCTCACTAGTCTTAGTAGCTTCAAAGGAATTGGTAGTATGTCTTGAATAGGAAAGCATTCAAATGAGAGAGAAAGAGAGAGAGCTAGTAGAGAAAAGGTGATCAGTGGTGGGGGAAGGGAGGGCTATCGCGATAAGAAGATGGGTCTTAGGGCAATTTTTTTAATACTTATAAGGGATATTATAGTTTTTTCACAATTTATGTTTAATTATAAAATAAAATAAATGAAAGTATTCCCTAAAATTACCATATCATACCAAATATAATTTTAAAACCCTAAGCCCTCTCCCCCTCCCGCTCCCAATTCTAGTCTTAATCTCAATCCTTTTAAATTCAAAACTGTGTACTAAACAAGGACTTAGTTTTTAAAACCAAGTCTGTTGGTTTTAATAATCAACCTTTTATAATTTAATTTTTTTATAATATGTAGCTGATTTGCAACTAATTTGTTAAGATTTTTAATCAAGCTTCGAAAATTTACAACTAATCTTTTGCAATTTATAATGATCAATCTTTTTGCAAAATTTGTTAAACTCAGATTAAATAACCTTGAAATGTCTTGACTCAGGTCCAAAATTTACCAAATCCAAACTTGATTCTTAATCCCTAATCCCTTCTACAATGACTTTACTTTTAACGGTCTAAGCCACACCCAGCTATCATAAACAAGTCCAAAAACCAACTAAAAAAACAAATCTCACTCATCACAATTAATCAATATCAAGTATGAACAATTCAATACTCTTTGTAGATGGCTTTCTCGCTCCCTTTTCAAAAACTCTTACTCCATCCCAACCGCTCTTCGATTACAAGGAAAGATGATTAGCTTGTTCGAAGCCCTAAGAAAAGAAAATAAAGAATGGAGAAGGAATTAGTGTGGGGAATATTCTTCAATGAAGCTGGCTGAAACTAAGTGATATAGAGACTGGAAAAACCACTACGAAACCTGCATTTGCGAAGAAGATTAAGGTATCAACAGGATGAGGAAAACTTGGATGAAGAGATTGATAAAGAAGACGGTTCTAATGAGCAAAATGGTATGGAAGGTATAGAATAAACTAAACCAGATTGCAAAACTATCAAGGACCCAAAACGAAACTTCCTAACATTCATTTTCTCTACTAAGGTGAAAAAGAGACTCTATAAGGCATGGAAGAAAGCTGTTATTGTCAAGATTCTTGGTAAGAGTATTGGCTTAAAGGCTTTGAAGATAAGATTGCAAGCAATGTGGGCAAATAAAAGGGTCATCAGACTAATTAATATAGGATATTGTTTTTTTATAGTGAAGCTTTCTAACAAGGAAGATTGCTTTAATGTATTAATTGGTGGCCCATGGATGATATATGTAATATCTCACTTCACTAAACACATTTAATAAATCAAGCTCATGGTAATTGAGGGATTAACTCCAAATAGTGATTACCAAGTTTTTAATTCAAAAATAAGGGATCCTAAGTTTTTCTAAATAGAAACAAATTAACATTGATAAAAATCTTTCATATCAGAGTAAAGATAAGTTTCAAAAGTATGGGATACCTCAGAAGAGTGAAAGAAGTTGAAAATGGTGAAGAATATATCAAGTGCTAAAAAACAGAGCAGTGCGCCACAGCAGGCGCACTCTATGCCGCGGCGTGTTGCTCTCTATGCCATGCACTGCGGCTCAGGCGCCATGTGCCGTGGCGTGTTGCACAAATTTTGCACTAGTTTTGCTGTCAAAATGATAGCCGAATTGAGAAACTTCCAACTCGCCCTGATTCTCTGTCCGACGTCTGAATGACATGATCTAGGTGTTTATGAAAAACTCTTTTTCTGTACCAACTAATGGCATGGGTTTTACTTTCAAAACACATCATACAAGGAAGTTGTACACACAAACATAATTTTACCACTTTTTAACACTTTTACACAAAGTGGGTGTCCAAAATCCTCAATAAGTGTCAAAAGCCTTTCCTAACACCTTAACTATATCCAATGGACCTAGGACTACCAGTACAATACGTCACAAGTATTGAAATATTATTATAATAAAAATTCACTCCCCAACCCCAATTTAATAAAAACAAAGGGGGTGGTAAATTAGCATTGTATTAACCTCAAATCATTCAAAACATGTTCAAACTTTACTTCCACACTTGTACTAGTATTTTAGCCCTATAAACATATACATCACAAAAATGCACAAAAGCTAAGGGTCCAAAATATAATTTTAACATTTCTGTACCAAAATAGTGCAAGTATGGGTAGTATGCATCTTAGAATTAGCAAACATATGCTATAACATAACTACATCAAAATTAGAGGCATACAAGAAGGAATGTACTAATTTCCTGCTTCTTTAGTCTTCTCTCTTTCAACATCAGAGCTAGAGCTTGAAAAGTATTAAATAAGAGGGGTGAGTCTAGCTACTTAGTAACCAATGTTAAACTTAACCTATGTAATTATATATCAATTATAAAACAAATACATGTACAAGGAGATCAAATATGTAAAACAAGTCCACATATACCACAACTTATCATTTATAACTCTATAACTTCTTTACTCACATAGCTAGGTGCATTGTCGTCATATTCTCAGATATATGACAAGACCTATACTCTTGCGACTTGTCACTACATACCATGTGTGACACGTCATGTATTCACTTAGGCAATGATCAACCAATCTTATATCCTTCTTATTTTCTCATACTAAAACCGTGGGCTATAACACTGATTAGGGCTTCGTCCGTGTCATTAGACTACTTAAGCTCACCAATTGTGAGGTGTGACCCGATTAAAGA